AAATCCTAGCAAGTTACACGTCCTCCTCGCCACTATCGTCGCTGGAGGATGAGCTCAAAACATTCAATCCAGACATATGCTGAACGTTTCATAGCTTGTTCCACTTCACGCTCAAAGCCAGTCACCTGTCGTGCCTGTTTACTTGCCGCTCAGAAGCTAAGTGAGAGTACCCGTGTGGTGGCTGTATGTGTTATCCCCGTTCGTCTCAATAATGCCTTTGTTTGAAACAAAAAGGCAACAGCACATCACTGTCAGTTTTTCATATCGCCTCTTGCACTTGTCGTACTTACTGATCAGCACCCACGCAAGCTGCTGGTGCTTGTAGTGCAGTGATAGCTTCTGCTTAAAGGGGAAGTTAAGGCAAAAATTAAAATTTCACCAGTTGTAGTCTTCGGGGAGCTGAGTCGAATGGTCTTGGTCCGAGAAAGCTGAGACGCTCCCTTCCTACTTGAATCCCAATCGAACTCGCGCACTTCCACCGAAACTGGGTGACTGCGCCCTACTAGATGGGGATTTGTATGCAAAATGTCACTAAAAGCGCCATTTCGTTCTTATAAAAGCACGGATGACCGCCATTGGCCCATATGTTGTAGTCTTTTGGACGCTGAGTCGATTGGTTTTGGTCCGAAAAGGCTGCGATGCAGCGTTCCTCCTTTATTCCCAATCGAACATGGTTGAACAAGCGGTCACGTGCTCCTGCGTACACCAGTCACCTGGTCACCGTGCCTGCAGGGTACAACTTAACATTACTAGCGTGTTTGACCTTTTTTGGGTGCAGTCCTGTCACTCGAGTTGACCTCGAGTTGAACCTTGGTGTGAAAGTTGTCGCCTGCTGGCGTGGTGACCAGGTGATTTGGGCACCCAGGAGCACGTGACCGCTTGTTCAACCATGTTCGATTGGGAATAAAGGAGGAACGCTGCATCGCAGCCTTTTCGGACCAAAACCAGTCGACTCAGCGTCCAAAAGACTGCAACATATGGGCCAATCGCGGTCATCGGTGCTTTTATAAGAACGAAATGGCGCTTTTAGTGACATTTTGCATACAAATCCCCATCTAGTAGGGCGCAGTCACCCAGTTTCGGTGGAAGTGCGCGAGTTCGATTGGGATTCAAGTAGGAAGGGAGCGTCTCAGCTTTCTCGGACCAAGACCATTCGACTCAGCACCCCGAAGACTACAAATGGTGAAATTTTAATTTTTGCCTTAATTTCCCCTTTAATGTAGCACCTGTGCCTACTGCACCTAATGTCTTGCACCAGTGTCGCACTGACTCTAGAGCAGGCATAGCTCTTTTCTGTGAGATCCCTGCAAGTCGTTTGCACGAGAGTTTCCTTCAGGAGTTGGTGTTTATTTTGATCAGCTCCTTTTCCAGGTCGTCTGTGAGCTTCACAGTGTGTCCGCCGGATTGGTCTCGTATTCTGGAGATGTCGATATGATCTGTAGTTTCTTCGTCGGTGATTTGCTGGTGATAACTCTTCACTAGACGCTGTACAGTGCGAGTACTCAAATTCAAGCTAGCGATGCGCTTTTTCAGCTTTTCTATACCTCCCCGCGGAAAACCATCCTTGCTACCAGACAGCTGGAAGCAGGCAGAAACTATATTCGCCATCGCTTTGAAGTGTGAACATCCTGACCTGTTTTACGGACTGGAGCGGAGGTTGCAGCCTTTTATTGCGTTGATGGAAGTGTTCGTCAGTGGCAGCTCCAGTCAAAAAATTCAAACGAACCGATCACGACTTCTGTGGTGGTTTGTGCTGCCATGTTGTCGGATGCAATGGTCTATGGTTATGTTCGGATGGTGAATCGGTGGTTCCATGCGGTGTGACACAGGCAGAACACCTAAAAATCTAGTGCGAAGATAAGCGCCAATTGTGATTTGCGGACCAAGTATTAGCAAACATCACTTGTCTAGTGAGAAAGTGCCTTGCCTTCGTACACTGTATATTCACCATCATACTTTATTCCAACAGGAGTGCATGAAACATTTGGAAATTTGAGAAAAGTCACAAAAAGAGGTGCAGTTTACTGTGCATTCTCCGTATCCTTGTTGAAATCGCACGCACTGGAATAATAAAATAAAAAAACACTCGTTGTGGTCATGACGAGTAGACCCCTCCGAACTCATCAAACACCAGTGTGCTTCGTGTGGTCAGGATGGGATTCTAACACAGTTTCCTCATTCGTCTTGCAGTTTCACGGCTTGCAAATGGTCCCAATTATCAAATGCACTTGGCATCTGGTTGATCAAATGCAGTGGTACCCTACAAAGCCGGCCGGCACCAAATTTAGCGCTTGGTGCACAGAATAGGATATAGTTTAGGTCAATGGCTGCATTCATCCCCCCCACCCCCATATATCCACAACCATGATGCAGTGGCGTGTCCAGGATTTGGCTGAGGAGGGTCGCGGTCGGGGGAGATGACATGGTGCACATGACTGTAATGATCTATGTCACGCACCTAGCTATCCAAAATTACAAAATGATTACATGCCAGGTATTTCTTCCAGACCTACACTATACAGATTGAAGTATCTCATGCTCAGTTACTACAGTGCGTATCGGTTATAGCGTGGTCGTGTAAAAGAATATACTGCTTACAAGAATGACCTCTCATATTTTCATAATCATAACATGGGTTTCAAGTGAACATATATTCTTACTTAAAATTGTCGCTTCCCAGAACAATTTTTCGAATTTATTTTGTCTACTCGAAGGGCAAAGAAATCAGCTAGAAATTGAGGCAGAGCATTGTCGACGGATCAAGCTTTAGTTTGTGGCCTCCCGATTTGCTGCACTTGCAGCTAAGGTCGACGTCTTCATCAGAGTTTGGGGCAGGCCCTTCAGCACTCAACAATGTGCTGAACAAGACGCGCGTTCAAATTCAGGTAAAGAAACTTCGTTTTCAAGCGATCCATGCCTCCAGGTGGCAGGCGATGAAGGCAAGCTAGCATTTTTCAAGTGCACTACAACGACCATCCAGCGGGATAGGGTAAGTAGTTCCGCAACTTCTTTCCCTGGCAATGGCTTCACTAATTTTGTTGGTGTTTTCAGACCTGCTACCTTTGTAGCAACATGTGCCACAAGTAGCGCATTTTAGGAATTTGAGAAAACTCTTTGTTCTTGCCATTGTCAACTTCAGCATTTCGTATCCAGGAGAGATACCAGGATTCTTATACCCGAGCTTGCAGTCTTGATTAAGAGCCACGCGAACGATATGGGACGGCACGAACTGCAGGAAAACGATTTGCGCTCTGGGGCGGAAGAGTGCGGAGCGCGATGAATTTGCTTGGTGCGGAAGAGAGCTCCAACGAAGTCCGAGACCACCACGGCTTCAGTAACAAGTAGACATTGCGCAGGAAGGGTGGCACCAATGCTCGAACACAGAAAACAGCGATTCCGATAGTCTGACTAGTATGTATGATGACCATCCTGTACTGGCACCTCCGCGTTGGGCGGAATGTCAGCCCGCTCCGAACTGGACTGGCAACCACTTGATCACTCCCACTGTTTCCTGTTGGAACAGGAATTGCGCCGTCGCAAGAACGCTTTGCAAAATCCATCAAGGCTCTGTTGGCCAGAGCTTGTCTTCTTTGGTCCATGGATGTCGCTGAGACTTCGCAGAAAAGTCTTCAAGTCAACCAATTCGCGATTCGAATCTGGAGGGGATCATCCTCCAAACATCGTTGTACAACGTTGCGAAAAGAGGCGCTTGACGATCACAAGCTTTGTTTTTGTCCCACTTGGGCAGCGCTGCGTTCAGCACATCACTGCACGCCTTTCTCAAGACGCATCGAGCGCGTCCTGGAATCTGTACAAAAGTATAGAGCTCGTACAGAGTCGATCATTTCTTTCACAGTGCAATCAATGCCGCTCACACACCGACGGTCTGTGCAACCGGTTTGGACGCTGCTTCCCACCGCGTAGAGTCTACCGCCTGTGCACATGGTGCATGTAGCAGCCTGGTGTTTTTTCAAACCCAGGTCGAAATGTTTTGAAGGGGGTGGGAGCGTGCCCTCCCCCCCCCCCCCGTAAACCCGCCAATGCCATGTGATAGGGACCATTAGCAAGCCGTGAAACTGCAACGCGAAGGGGGAGCTGGGTTAGAGTCCCGGCCTGACCACGCGAAACATACTCGTGTTTGACGAGTTCGGAGGGGTCTACTCGCCATGACCGCAACAAGTGGGTTTTAGTCAAGTACGTGCGAATTCAACCATGAAGCGGAGAATAGCACCGTAAATCGCGCCTCGTTTGGTCTTTGCGATTTTCTTCAAATTTCGAAAAATGCCTCACCCATTCTTGTGGCAATAAATACGATGGCGAAACGTACCAAACAACCAGTAGGACCATTGATTTTGGCATAACCGTTACTAACATGACACAGAACAGGATCGAGGGTAACCACAGTGCCAACATTTATGCTTGTTCAAGACAAACTTCAGCTTGCTCGTTCATTTATGTTTTGGCATGGACCTCGTGAACACAACCCTTTGCTGCACCCATCCATCGGCGATGTGGCCGTCATGGGGTTTCTTTCACTTTCATTCGGGTAAAAGTCAGTCAGGCTGAGAATTGTTCTCAAGAAAAAGTTCGCAAAAATAATTGCCAGTAAAAATATCAGAAAACTGTTTGAAACTGGAAAGCAGCCGACTCGCGTAGACGGGTTGTGAACGCGAGAAGCTAATTCTCAATCAAGTCGTGTTTCACGTGCGTTCCGATGAACTCGTTCCTGTTGACGTTTCACGGCTTGCTAATAGTCCCTAATAGTTTTCCCAGCCCCCCCCCCCCCCCCCCGTTCAATCTCAGGTTGGCTAGGACCATGGAGGCAATATCGTTATTTCGTACTCGGACCCCTCCCCCCACTCTGAAACGAACGCAGCTTGCTATGCTGGACGACGATAATCGCATGCATGTACAAGTACAATGTACAGTGTCGGTCGAGTTGTGATTTTGGCTCACACCCGCATCCCCCCCCCCCCCCTCCCACTCCAAAACGAATGATGCTCTCGTTTCAGAGACGACAAAAAAACTTTTGCGACAACCCCTAACGAAAACTGTACAAGCTCACGCGCCCACAGACTCGTAGTACATGCCTCGTACGGTAGGACTCGTCATCTCCAGAAAAGTCAACAAAATGAAACATTCCGCCATGGCCAGACCAAGCGGAGTTACACTCTCTCGTGTTTATGTACTCTTGATCTCATGGACAGCTGTACAAATGTAGGACATGGTGGTGGTAGGTGCACCTCACGTGACTCACGTGACACCTAGTCACTGCATAGTTCAACCAATCAAATGTACGACACGCTGTAATGTTTACTGTAGACACACAGTACATCTAAATTCAGTCACTCACAGTCAAGTCTACTGTACATACCTTCGCACTCTCGTGATCCACCAGCAACTGCACACATCCCTCATGATTCTCCTCCCTGGCTAGGTCCAACGCTGTTCTCCCTCTCTGAGTAACTCAGCAAAACATCACAGGAACAACAGAAAATCAATTTTGAGAAAATTCGTTCCAATTTTACAAAAACGAAAACACAACGAAGGCCAAGGACATAATCTACAACGAGACGAAATCAATCTCTCCACAAGACGACTTACATGTACAGAACAAGTCTCTCCTTCCTCAGCAACATTGCTACTCCATGCATCAACAGTAAAAACTCCAGTTCATGCTTCGACAAATTTGAATATTTTTTAAAGATTTCTACTCGAACGAAAATATCCACGACGAGAGGAAAGCGTCCACAGCGCCTGCTCCACGTCAGGAACAACAGCATGTCTTCTGCGTACTCGTTACAATAACAACAACCCTTCACTCCTCACTCGTTCCAACAAACACCATCAAACAGTCTTCTTCTCCTTCACACACTGATTTCGAAATTCTTCAAAAATCGAACCACAGAGTGAATATGACCACGTGGCGATACTGTACGCATGATGTCATTGAGTACGGTATTGTACAACTGGTACACATTTCTGACAAGAGGAGAGGGGAGAGACAGCAAGGGGCAGAGAGAGAGAGGCAGGACAGGTGAGAAGGACGAGTAGAAACTGTTCACTTCACAACAACACACAATCAAATACTTACATAGTCACGCAGTGTGGTATCCAAGGTGACACCGTCACTGTCATGTGACAGCATCACCTTGACAACGTTGATCTTGTTACAGTCGACTGCATAGTGAAGTGGAGTCCATCGTTCCTGTAGAGAAAGAGAGAATGTGATGAGTATTGCTATACAACCATTACACTAACTACTACAACCACACACCGACACAGACCTGGACAACTAGAACAAACGCATCAACACACACATACACATACACACACACAGTGCGCACGTGCACACACACACACACACACACACACATACACACGGGTGCACATGCACATACACATGCACATGCACACACACATGCACATACATGTACACACATGCAGATGTACATACACACGTGGACATACAAACAAAAGGACACACATGCAGAAGCAATGAACAGATTGTCTTAGAGACAGACAGATAGACATGTAGGAACATACAAACTGAGAATTCAGTTGAGACAACCAGACTCTAAACTATCACTAGTTCTTACCACACTGTCCTGCACATTGACATCAGCTCCACGTCCGATGAGAATATTTGCTAGTCGATCATTTCCACACTCTGCACAGTGGTGCAGTAGTGTCTCTTTGTACTGTACACACACACACACACACACACACACACACACACACACACACACACACACACACACACACACACACACACACACACACACACACACACACACACACTCACATGCACACACACACACTCACATGCACACACACACACACACACACACATGCACACACGCACACACGCACACACACACACACGCACACACGCACACACACACACACAGGCACAAGCGCGCACGCACGCACGTGCACACACACACACACAGGCACAAGCGCGCATGCACACATACATATACACACACATGCACGCGCACACATGTACACACACACACACACACAGGCGCATGCGCACACACACGCGCATGCGCACATACACACACACACACATGCATGCACACACACACATGCGCACGCGCACGTATGCGCAAGCACATACACACACATGACAGATACACAGTCAGTTGCACATCCCAATGACGCGAAGTCTTGGGGCATGTGGACAGACGGATGCATTTTACAGTGCAGGGATACAGAAACACAGGAGCGAAGCGTCAGACAGATAGACAGACAAAGAGACAGACAAAGAGACAGACAAAGAGACAGACAGACAGACAGACAGACAGACAGACAGACAGACAGACAGACAGACAGACAGACAACAGACACACACACACAGACAGACATACAGAACAACCATGACAAACCTGAACAGTACTGAGTCTTGTAACAATCAAGAACACAACAACTTACCCAAGTTTCGTCTTGCTCATCCATCTCTACACTATGTACACTAAATATGTAGTGTACAATAGTGTAGAGGATTTCATCACGAAGATGCCGACCCTCCAAGCAGATCACACAAAGGAGCATTGTCTGTGTGATATACAAAACAGAAAAAACGATTTGACAATTACAAAAACGACAGCAACAATACTCGCAGTACAATGCCATCAGGAGTTAGGAAACCTACTGATTGACCTCAGGGGTCAGCGATCCAAACCAGACAAATTGCCATAACTTTATTCCAGCTTGAGAGAAGCTTGCAGCAATTGCACATCTTGTAAAGGTATGTCACACCAACGATTCCCACTGGCCAACAATCACTTGACAATGGTACAGACAAGAAGACCAGGTGTCACAGAAAACTCCCCCCCCCCCCCCCACACACACACACTGTACAGCAACACTCTACTTACTCCCATTGAGTAGCAGTATGGTGGAAGTGATGACCATGATGATGGTTTCCATGTCACTTTACGTGATGTGGAGGACAATTGCGGCTGCTGAGGAGGCACAGCAGCCTGAAGACTTTCCAGTGTGGCACCCCGTCGCTGCACCTCCCGAGCGAACCCATCTACTTCTTGACTGGACATGTCTGTACAGGGACAATGCGTACGCAACACAGACACACAGACAGACAGACACAGATGGACACACAGACAGACAGACAGACATAGAAAGAACAGACACATGCACACACACGACACAGATAATCACACATGCACACACAAACACACAAACACACACAGACGCAGATGGACAGACAGATACAAACAGACGGACAGACACACATACAGATGGACAGACAAGGGGACAGAAAATAAGAGGTAAGAAAGACAACAAGTACCCCCACACTATGACATACACAATGATCCAAACAAGATTGATCTCACATGTCAATACTTGCATCTACACTGATGCGTACGCACACACATACAAACTCATCATGACGTCATACTCAACGCCATATTTAGAGTGGAGTAACCTTTGACCCCACGTCCACGGACATGCAGCTACGTCAGTCAATGACTGTGTCAGTAGCTGAAAAAGGTGAAGACGATCAATGAACGACATCACGGGGACATCTTCACAACACACTGCAACACAATGCAATTTACCTGTCTCAGCAAAACCACAGAAACCACCGACAAATGTTACACCTCATTACTACAACTGCCTACGACAACTATCAACGAAAGAATACTGCTCTCCACCTCAAACAACTCCAACTCTCGTACCGTTGACAACAAAGAAGAAAACGCCAGTTCGAAGAAAGGTCCCCACACAAAATGAATGGAACAACTTCAACTTCAACTTGACAAGCACGAACAGTTACAACAGCAAACACTTGATATTTGAACAATCTTCATGTCGATCGCAACTAGAAATATCTATACATCCTCTTGCTCGTCAAGTCTACCTTCGTTACAAAGAACTAAAATGTACTTCGTCTACAAGAGGTCAATCAGTAGGTCCCTGAATGGCGTCACGTTGCGACACGGGACAAGGGCAAAGGTGGAGACAAACGAGACGACAGTACTAACGAAAATATGGGAAGTAAACGAAGAGAAAGAGATGGAGTGCCTCCATTTGTAACTTACATTCCTTGTTGGAGAAACGTTGATGACAGTGAAAACGATCTACTTTTCTCTTCTTTATCGCTAAGTGTAGGAAACATGATGAACTTCTCTGGCCTATTGAGAGTTCTGAAAATGGTCTATTCAGTTTCTAACTTGCCATACGGATAAAGTCACCGTTGAACTTCTCATAGACGAACATGACTACAAGTAGTGAGTCTAAAGGGAAGAGCTGAATTGAAGAAAGTCATCCTTGCCGTTTGTTAAACTTTGCCTTCAAGTAGCAGTGAAGAGAAAAGAAGAAACTTGACGCGGAAGTCCGGAGGGCCTACGCCTGCAAGAAGGTACTCAGCTGCTTGACGGAATGGTGTAGCGAAGGAGTAACTCACTGTTTGAACTTTGGACTTTGATCTACAGGTCATGAACCGCTACTGAACGATCCACGGTTGCTAACTAGACCGATAAGATGTAGCACTCTGTGCGAGAACAAGGTCAGGGAGTGAATCGAATAATTCAGTCGCTAACGTGAGCAAATACACCCTTTATGTCAACCAGGTCAGTTAGTGCAGTACCTGACGCATTTCTACTAGGGATCAAACGGTCACGGTTTTACCCCTGACGCTTAAAGGGGAAGTGCATCGATTTTTCAAGTAGGGCGCAGATGAAAGACAATTGGATATCGGTTCCGATGGTATATCTCTCGCTTGCGTACGGCAAGGGAAACTTGCCATATCGCCAATTTCCTGATCCCGTTTCCATGGCGACTACTGGTGATGACGCACATTCTGCTTAGCTCCGTGAGAGAGAAGGTCGATCACTGAAGAATTGTGTCATTTTCAGTTGTCTTCTTGTATTCACGAAGTGAAAGAAGTACTGTGTTCAAGGCTGTTAGTGCCGTGAACTGTTTATTAGTAGTCCTCTCCGTTGTGTACTGGGACGTAACACCGACAGGGGTAAGCTGGAGTGCGGAGACGTTAGCTGGCAAGCGAAAATCGTGACGAACCAAGTGCTGAAATCTTGGTTGGGACAAATCAAACGTTCAGCATTTACCTCAACCAAGGACCATGCCGTTTGCTCTTTCCACTTCCTGAAGATGGATACGCTGCCTGCTGGAGACTCTCCTATCTCTCGTAACATCTTCTGAAGCCAGGTGAGACGACGAGTAGCGGAGATTAGCGAACGAAATAATGTCGTATGTTTTGAAATTTTTGCTGAACATGTCTCAGGAGAGATGGCATGTATGAACTTAGTCCATGTGAACTCAATCAGCCCATGAACTAACCCAGGAACAAATGCTTTCCTTGCAGACGTGCATGTGTCTATCCAATCTACACGTAGAGATCATTCCATGTCCTCAGTGAATGGCCCATTTATATAATTATTTGTCCATACACTTCATCTGCATGTTGTCTCTATGGAGAAGGGTATTGTTCATTTCATATGAAGAAGTTCGGGCAATAGATGCTTTCCTCTGGTAAAATTCTGTTGACCTGATGTTCTTTCTAGCTTCATGGGTAGCTTAGGTGAGGTACCATCACCATCGTGTTTACATGAGGGTCAAACACTGCACCGTTCTTTGTTGTGACATGACGTAAGTTATTGCAAGTGCTCGCAGACTCCATACGTTCCAGCAACACCTAGCATGGTTTTCCGTGAACGTTGTGGGTGAACAAATTCCTGTCCAACATATTTATACAGACATGCCAGCACACAAAATGCACCATACACACACTTGTCCTGCCCTGTCGAGTCACTGCCACGTGGGCCCGGAGGGGCAGTGGAGAGAGAATGGGAGAACGCCGCCCCATGGCGCCCGGGACACAAAACAAGAGTTTGTCTACGTAGGGCGCAACACACATACATATACATACACCACACACACACACACACACACACACATACACACAAAATGAGAGTTCGGGTCATCTGCCACGAGACTGACGTACGGCCGGGGAGAGCTTCAGCAGCGGTGTCTATTCCCGCCCCGGACCGAACGGAAGCAGCGGTCGCAGGACACACAGTATTCACCACAACACGGCTCCACTGTCGTTGGGGGGCTGAGCCACACACTTGTGACGGGCAAGAACGCCACAGCTAAGAAAGCAACGGCCACAACGATCACACTGGCATGCTCCACGCTGCTCCTGCACACACACACACACACACACTCTCTCTCTCTCTCTCTCTCTCTCTCACACACACACACACACACACACACACACACACGCACACACACACACACACACACACACGTGCGCACATACTGCAAGAAAGAAAGAGAGCATGAGTGTCAGATTCTTGCATAGGAATTGTTTATCAGCACACACTTATACATGCACATGCAGGCACTCAACGACCAACTATGCACCATGCCGTATGTTCATCAAACATCAGATTGCAATACCAAAGAACATAAACAAGATCACTTACTTCGTTCTCCTCCAAGTGTGTCCTCCCCAGCCAGGCCACCTCCTGCATTTCCCTTGGCGGAATGTAGCCTACGAAATGGTTTCTCTAGACTTGGAGAATATGCTTGGTATTCGCCATCTCTCCTGAGAAATGTTCAGCAAAAATTTCAAAACACACGACATTATTTCGTTCGCTAATCTCCGCTACTCGTCGTCTCACCTGGCATCAGAAGATGTTACGAGAGATAGGAGAGTCTCCAGCAGGCAGCGCATCCATCTTCAGGAAGTGGAAAGAGCAAACGGCATGGTCCTTGGTTGAGGTAAATGCTGAACGTTTGATTTGTCCCAACCAAGATTTCAGCACTTGGTTCGTCACGATTTTCGCTTGCCAGCTAACGTCTCCGCACTCTAGCTTTCCCCTGTCGGTGTCACGTCCCAGTACACAACGGAGAGGACTACTAATAAACAGTTCACGGCACTAACAGCCTTGAACACAGTACTTCTTTCACTTCGTGAATACAAGAAGACAACTGAAAATGACACAATTCTTCAGTGATCGACCTTCTCTCTCACGGAGCTAAGCAGAATGTGCGTCATCACCAGTAGTCGCCATGGAAACGGGATCAGGAAATTGGCGATATGGCAAGTTTCCCTTGCCGTACGCAAGCGAGAGATATACCATCGGAACCGATATCCAATTGTCTTTCATCTGAGCCCTACTTGAAAAATCGATGCACTTCCCCTTTAACTCATTCAAAAAATGTACCCTATTCAGTACAACGCACACTTGTACATTCTCTTGCATGCTCATTCATACATACTCTCACACCAAGAGACCAGATATGACCGAGTTGACAGCCCAGAAATTGCGTACGCGTGCGACAGCCCGCGAAAGTGCACACTTTGCAACGACCTGATACTTGAAAAATTGACTGAAAAGTTACTGCGTAACCGTGGTAACCGTTATCTTTATAGGTTAACCGTTAATTCTTCATAACCGGTCTGCAACCGGTTAATCGGACTAATGGTTTGAGCCCTAATTTCTACCAAGCATGTGCACACACGCTAGCTCTCAACCGTGTCACTCAGCCTGATGACCTAGCTCTGGAGTAGGCATAGTCACAATGTGCAATATCAGTGATACTTGTAGGGGATTTCAAATAGACCTATAGCACATGATTGTATTTTTACTTACTGAGTGAGTTGTCCGATCCTTTAAAGATCTTCTTCAAACGTTGGCTGAGTGGGCTGACTGGAATAAGTAGGTCGTTGAGAGAAGGAGAGCGTTATGCTGAACTTGTTATTCACTGAGAGAGCGTTATGCTGAACTTGTTATTCATTGAGAGAGCGTTGTGCTGAACTTGTTACTCTCTGAGAGAGCGTTGTAGCCACTACAGACTGATTAGTAGTTGAGAGAAAGAGTAACAATGACTGGAAAAGATAATGCACCACTAACAAAGGTAGGTCAGAGGGACTGTTCAACACTAGAAGACGTTTGAAACAAAAGAGAAAGGCAGGGAGACGAAAACGGACAACTGGACTGTGCCTTGAGAAATGGATGACTGAGCGGTGCTGACCAAATAGCGATGTGATCTGATGTTTGAACGAATCGTGCATCACATGCATGTGGTAAATGGCAGGACATGCTCACTGTCTGGCAGACCACGGACGGCCATCTACTCATATATTACTAATACTGCTTTAGCTTTGTGGCTGTGTGCCTTAGCGCGAACTCTGGCATCTTTTGTTCGCAGCACTGCGTGTGTGTCAGCGTGTTGTCACGTGATGTGCTACACGTCTGCGCGATGTCATCGCGCTCTGCACAGACCGAGACCATAAAAATGTGTTGTTTACCTAGTCATTGGTGAGAAGAATCACATTCACACATGTAGACTACACACATAATGGGGGACCTACCCCATTAGTAGCATTACCACATAACAACACTACCTGGAACCAATCACGATTCAATGCTACGCTCTTCTCATCAAATATGGACAAAGAGCTGATGACATCATATCTTAGGCCAGTCCCATACAGACCAGGGTGGTGTTGGTGTTGTCAATCTGATTGTCGTAAAATTCTATTATAACTGGTTATTGCCAAACACGTGTCGTCATAACGACATGACGTCTCTGAGCAACTTGACAATGTAGACACTGTAGTAGCTGCTTGTGTGTGGTCTGGTGTACAACTCAGCAACAGACTGTACATTTGGCTGATCGCGGATGAACAGGGCTGGTCTAATAGTAATACATGTAGACTACTATGTGTTGGCGTGAAATGGTGTGTTGGAGTGCTGTTGCTGGTGTTGTTGCTGCTGCTGCTGCTGCTGCTGCTACTGCTGATGCTACTGCTAGTGCTAGTGCTACTGATGCTGCTGCTGTTGTTGTTTC